GAAGAGGTCGCTGTATGGACCTGGCGACTTCCCATGGACATACCCATATGCATATGTCTATGTCACACATACTCTGTATGCCGCGATGAGATTCTCAATCGAACATTTTGTTTTATTTTTAAGAGGTCAGATTTTGAATGTCATTGAAACACATCAACCAATGATTAAAAGATTGTCGATAAGGAATGCTAGAAAAAGGTAATAAATGCCTTATTTTGCCCTCCATCTACATTGTAAAAAAAGGGAAAGCATCCTGGCATATGACTTATTTCGTTTCAGTTCGTCCACACTAGCTCAGAAAAGATGTCTCAAGTCATCTTAATATGTTCTGTTGTAGCTCGCATCCAACGCAGTCAGGAAAAGATGACTATTTTGGTTATTTATTTATTTGTTTTTCTATATCATATTGTAGCATAAAAGTAAAATTCAAAGAGAATAAAAGTACATAAGAATCCAATTCCGTTCACTCAAAATTTATATTGAAAACTAGTCAGGTCTGGATCGAAAATCACACTATATCGTTTAGTAAAATTTTGAAGTAAAATAGAAAGAAAAATATGCATATTTATTCAAAGATAAAAAAGAAATTATCAAAATTTCTATAATTTACATAAGTTCAATAGTTGAAAACCAGCGTAAAGCAGGCACTTTTAGAAGATATGAAATCTGGCATATATCAGTAATTAGGAAATTTCGAAAGTAACGAAACTTATAGGAAATCTGAATATGATTGAACTACTACAGACTATTAAAGCGACACAGCAGTCTTTTATGTTGTAACAAAAAGAAAGCTTTCTTAACTAGGAAAAATCCACTCCAAATCATTAGATGATAAGAATATAAACAAAGATGACAAGTTATAAGACAAGAAAAATGCGTATTTTTTTCATCATCGAATCTTCAGTAGATGTTTACTTATTATAAAAGAGCCGATAATATCGGCTTGGTTCATTTAATGTACTCATAGTAATGTCATAGAATTTTTTTTTGAGAACTGGAAAGTTAGTTGAACTGCACATCCGAACAGATTTTGATCCGTAGCAACTGTTTCGCTTCTTTTTCTGGAATGTATATCAGAGAACGTAATCCACATAGAGCACGGACTCCAAAAACCCACTTCTAAGGTTGACATTCCCATATAACCGAAACAAACTTGCTTCCAAGTTATGGCAAACTCGCTCTAGACTATAGGCTACTAACTGTAAAAATGTTGTTTTCAGCTATTAAAAAACGTATGACTATGTAGGTGGATAGTTTTATATTGTTATCCTGCAAGAGGATGAAGAAGATCTTTCGTTTTCAGTTTTTACTGTGCACGATGTCTCGCAACGTTCTCGTCACTGGTGCTGCTCGAGGTATTGGACGTGCGATTGCTCTCCGTCTTGCTAGAGATGGTCTCAATGTTGCTGTGAATGATATCAAAGCAAGTTCTTCAGGTCTCAATAAGGTTCAGCAAGAAATCGAAAAAATGGGTCAAAAATCGGTCGCCATAACTGCTGATGTTTCTGTTGATAAAGAGGTTGAAACAATGATGCAGAACGCTGCAAAAGAACTGGGCAGTTTGAACGTAGGTGTCTCTTTTTTTCGATTCTTTCATCTTTTTTCTAGCTAATAATATAGGTCGTAGTTGCTAATGCAGGAATTGCTCAAGTAAAATCGATCATTGATATTACTACAGAAGATTGGGATAAGATATTCGCAGTCAACATGCGAGGTGTGTTTCTTTGCTACAAAGAGGCTGCTAAAGTCATGATTGCGCAAGGTGCGGGAGGAAAAATCATTGGTGCCTGCAGTGGGCTTGGATACAGATCAGCTCCAATGTTGAGTCATTATTGTGCCAGTAAATGGGGCGTGCGTGGTCTTACGCAAGCCGCTGCCATGGAATGGGCCAAACACAAGATTACAGTCAATGATTACTGTCCAGGTATGTTGCATACCTTTTTTTCTTTGAAATACAAATCTAATAATCAAAACAGGATTAACTAAAACTACGCTGGCGGATATGTTTGATGAAGAAATGGCAAAAATTCAAGGAAAGCAAAAGGGAGATACCATAAAGTATCAC